TAGCATATGTAGTTTTTACCCTAAATTCTCTTTTCACTACCTATTTTTCGTAGACCGTCCCATTATCATAATCTATACCACACTGCGAAAACTGATGCATCTTCACTCCCTCTAAATTGTTCGAATTCTCTATTGAAATTGTAATAGGCATATGTAAGACACTCTTAGCTTGGTTTACTTGCTTAGTAAAATCTTTGTATCTCCGTTATGTTTATAAGTTTGATTTTGATATTATTTTTGACAGTTCTATTACGATTTAGTGCTTAAGAGCTACATATGGTAGAATTATTTCGCAAAGCTATGCAAAATTGGATGAGATTATTAATTTATGAAAATCCCATATTTTTATTTCCCACAATGCTGAAATAATCTGCATTCTCATCCAAGCAGTTATTTTCTGAATTGCTTTAAAATAAACTATTTCATGTGCAACAATTTTCATCTTCAACATTATCATACTTCTTACTCATCTTATCAATCTCTTTGCTCTGTGCTCCTCAGGAGGACCTAGTGGGGTGCTCGGATCTGGCACCGGTGTTACTGCTAGCTCTTGTCTGGCCAGTCTCCATGAAGACACTCTTGGAGCACATTGGAAATCTGCATTGGCCCAGTACGTTGCACTTGAGCTGAGTCGACCTGCCAGTGGTTCGGGATTCTCAGTGAGTACAGGGCTCATCTCCACCACTGGTTCTGGCACTGGCTATGCTTCGGTAGCAGCTTCCTCCCTCTTCGGTGGCAATGTGGGGAATTCTGTCGGCAGCAGTGGCTTTATCTCCGATCAGGACGTTCTACCCTTCTTAGCACCAGGCTTGCTAGCTGACTTCCTTCCCCCCCCTGGATCACGATATTTTGCTGCAGCCCGAGGAGTAGCTACCACTTCTTCTGTCTTTTCTGAGAACAGTTCTGGAGTTTTCACTACTAACTCAGCTACTGGATATAATTCGATTCATGGTCAGCCCAGCGTCCGTGGCCCAGTAACTACATTCTCTTTGACAAGCTCGACCAAAACTAAAGCATTTTTCCAGCTGGCGACAGTCTCCTCAGGCACCGGAAATGCTTGTGCTCCGTCAGGACCTGTCGGTTGGTTGAACTTTGTCAAATTGTCTATTTTTTCTGTAGTTTATATTGGTTTTATTGTATTTTTACTGGTTTCCCAAGCATTTGTTGTCTGCATATTTCCTCTCTTTCTTGTCCTTTATATCTCTATTCATTTACCTGTTCATATGAATGCACTTGAGAGTGTGTATTAATTCATAAACGTTCGTATCGCATAAATTTTACTGAAAAATTACTTAAGGGAAATAAAACAGAACGTATATAAGATGCTAAGATGCTTTTACTATTGAAACAGTTACTATATGATGACTTATATTTCGAAACTGAAAGATACTCCTCACTTTAGCTAGTTTTTACCGAGCGGGTGTAAGCTTTATATTATAGTGAAGAGCCTTATCACCTCTATTTTTTTAGCTTATGTTATCAGTTTATGTTTGCGACCTCATTGGCCTGCACTTGCCAAGTTTTCGATACAATGGCCCCAAGGCAGCTCAAAGGCGTACCTGCTCCTACCTTGTGAGTGCCTCCTGAGCTCTGACAATCTAACCTTATTTCGAAGGTATGAAGACCATGATGGTGTGGCCTTTTGTATGGTCGCAGTCTCCTTTCGTTGTATGGAATTTGTTCGGCTTTGTTTTCGTAACTTGATCATATTGGTAGGATAATCTAGAGGAACGCACCTAGTCCGGAGTCCATTGTATGCATGAATTGGGGTTTGGATAGTTCTCATAAAATCCACTCAAAAGGGTACACCATACTACATTTGTATAAACAATTAAGAAATTGCGATAGTGAAGGCGTGATACGAGGATATAGGATAGGTGAATAGCACATGACAGAAGGAGAGATACCACAACTGTTTAGCACACAATGGACTCCGGACTAGGTGCGTTCCTCTAAGTCTTCCTACCAATATGACCAAATTGCGAAAACAAGGTTAAACAACTTCTTACCTTATTTTTTGTATATAAGTAGAGTTTCGAGACTTCTTTCCTCATTTCGTTGCTAACACCCTTCTATCTATTGTGTCTGATAAAGATTCTCTATCCTCGGATTCGTGTTACCTAAACTTTCGTCTTTTTACCTGGTTAGGTGTAGTACTGAAACCGAATATTGCATTTTTTCGTCTGACTAGTTGCATATACACTGCCCCTCCCTTTCTCGCTTATACTTGGTATCGTAATGCAAAAGGACATCATTAAAAAAGTATTTTCAACATCGATTAGCAATGCT